GGCATTTGGCTACATTCTGCTTCACGATCCATTTAGCTGGCGCAACATTTTGGGGATATTGATTGCTATAGTCGGAATGGTGCTCTATTCTTATTATTGCACTCTCGAGAGCCAGCGGAAGGCTAATGAAGTATCCCAACAGTTACCCCAGGTGCTTACCATTTTTTTCATATCTCATTCACATGTTTCTTTGTGTAATTCCCACTCTGTGCCGAATAATTTGCTAATACTTCTTATCCGCCACATGGTTGCAGACGAGAGAAAGCGAAGGTGATCCTTTATTAGGTGTGGAAAATGGAAGTGGGATGCTAGGGGACGATCTGAAAATTCCTGTATGGAAGAACAAGGACCTACAAGCTTAAAAGCCTTTGCGATCTCTGAGTTCTTTTGTGGTAGATCAAATTTATTGGGGGCAAAACTGTTCAGGCAATGAAGATGTTGCCGGCGAGGGGTTTCAATCTGGGGAGTCTATGGGTTTATGATTTCCAGTGTAGTAGTAAGCTTCAGGGTAAAAGAAATGTCTCGTTTTTTCTTATTTTATATAGCAGTTTTGGTAATTAATTTTGTCGAAATCGGGTTTGGCAAATCGGATTTATACTGAAAATTTTCTGTTGTACCCACCAAATACTAAAAAGCATTCATAAGTGCTATTTTAGTGAAGACAGTGAAAACATTTTATTTACAAGGGTAAGATTGCGTAAAATAGACATTCTCTTTCGACTCTCACAAAGCGATGAGCTTTGTTGGCTTGAGCTCACCCTTTTTTTAGTGAAGACAATGAAAATGCTAAACCGCTGTTTGGTCTGCAGACGTAGTGAATTTGATTCGGACATGTAGTTGGAGATAAAATTCGACGTGGCACTATGCAATTGCTACATGTGAGGCATCGTTTATTTCCCTAGAACATAGTGTCAGCGCAAGACGTTTAATTTTCTTAAGGGTTATTATACAAAATGGTTCCTGAGATTTTCATGAACAATATAAATGGCATCTGAGATTAAAAATCAATAGAAATGGTCCCTGAGATTATCCATCATCCATGATTTTGGTCCTTCCGTTAAAAGCTATTTTGGGAAATTTTCAAAGATTTGTAACTCAGTCGTTTTTTAATTAAATTCGACTCATAATATATCAAATGAAGATAGGAAATTGTAGAATAAGGTTATACCTATTTGGAAGCTCAATGGTTGCCGAAGATGACCTGAAAATAGCCTGAAAGGTGATTGGTCTGTGGGAAAACCAAATTCGACTCATAATATATCAAAAATGAAGATAGGAAATTGTAAAATAAGATTATACCTATTTGGAAGCCCAATGGTTGTCGGAGATGGTCGGAAAATAGCCTGAAGGGTGACTAGTCAGCAGGAAAACTGGGTAAACTTTAAACGTTCATAACTTATTCAATACTCAACAAAATCGAGTGATTCAAAAACAAAAATAATACTTCTTGACGTGACGAAGATAATGGTACCTTTTCGAAGGCTAACTCGCCGTGGTTTAGTCGGACAACGGCTCGAAAGTGGCTAACTATTTTCGAGTTAGCCACTTTCGAGCAGTTTTCCGGCCAAACCACGATGAGTTAGCGGTAAAGAAAGATACCATTCTCTTTGTCTCATCAAAAAGTATGATTTTCATTTTTGAATCAATCGATTTCGTTGCGTATTGAGGAAGTTATGAACGTTTAAAGTTTACCAGTTTCCAGCGAGTTTTCCAGTTTTCCTGCGGACCAGTCACTTTTCAGGCTATTTTTCGGCCATCTCTGGCAATCATTGGGCTTCCAAATAAGTACAGTCTTGTTCTACATTTCCTTATCTTCATCTTGATATATTATGAGTCGAATTTGATTAAGAATCGATTGAGTTACGAAATTTTGAAAATTGCCCAAAGAGTTTTTAACATAATGACCAAAATCATGGATGATAGACCATTTCTATTGATTTTCAATCTCAAGAATCATTTTTATTGATTATGCAAATTTCAGAGACCATTTTGTATAATAACATGCGCCAAAGTTGAAAATAAGTGAAACTATGGGGGAACAAAAATGTAATTTGGCGTTTTATTGTACGTTATAAAATGCAGGCGTGCCACGATATCCAGCTTACGTGTCCCACAAGTTTCTCCGGTTATAAGGCTCTGCGACATTCGCCGAATGAGAACAGACAGGACCTCCACGCTGATTGACGACCTTCACGCTGCCGGACCTGCCCTACGACTATGGGGCACTGGAGCCCCACATTAGCGGAGAGATCATGGAGCTCCATCACCAGAAGCACCACAAGACCTACGTCACCAACTTCAACAACGCCCTCGAGAACCTCCATCAGGGCATGAACAAAGGGCAGCCATCCACCGTCGGGGGGTTACAGAGCTCCATCAAATTCAACGGCGCGGAGGTTCGCTTTTAGTTTGCTACCTTGCACTTGATTTTGATTTTAGGCTAAAGTTGAGTTTGGTTGTTTTAGTTTTGGCGAAGTTCCACTATTCACCATGTAGTTTCAACAATGTAGTTTACTAATTGTTGCAATTCGAGGACTTACGTAATAATTTGCTCATGAGAGCTATGCGTGTGGTGTTTTTACAACTCAAGAAAACCCAAATTACCGTCACATGTGTGGCTCTCGAATTATGCCGAAAAATGAACAAAAATAAGCAAATGTTATTGAATTGCAACAATTAGCAAACTGAAATCTTGATAAGTTACGAATGAAGTTAAGGTTATATTTTAAAAATAAATCGGCATTATGGAGAGTAGTCAACTTGTAATATAAGCACACACAAAATCTCATATATAATTCATGGACGTGTGATTCACACTCTCATCTGAACTATATGGATTAAGGTGGAACTTCGCTAAAACTAGATGGACTGAAATCGTGATTTGGCCTTTAATTTATTTGTTTATTAATTAATAACGTATATTTGAATGTGGAAGGTCATATAAACCACTCTATTTTCTGGAAAAATCTTACCCCTGTCCAAGTAAGTTCATACTTTATTTTAAATCGTGGTTTGGAATTAGTTTGTTGGGCCTTTCTTTTCTATCTAGAAATTGGTTAATAAAATGTAATGTGCAGGAAGGAGATGGGGAGCCTCCAACGGGTTCGTTAGCATCCGAAATTGACGATCGGTTTGGTTCTTTACGTTCGCTGATTCAGAAAATGAATGCAGAAGGTGCTGCTTTGCAAGGTTCCGGCTGGGTGGTAGGTGTTTTGCCTACTTCTTAGCTTTACTATTTGTTCCATTCAATTCTTTAGGATGGATTTCGCCAAAACGAATAGACTCAAGTATTGAGAGTTAACGCTTCTTTTTTTTTTTTCAATTTTGATAGTGGCTTGCTCTTGACAAGGATCAGAAGAAGCTTTCTATCGAAACCACATTCAATCAGTTGCGGTGTTCGAGTCTTTGCTATTGACAATTTGGATTTATGGATTTGGAGATGTTAGGGGCTGCCTTTCAGTTTTAGATCAATTTGCTTTTTGCATACTCCTCAGTTCCTTTCGGGAATTCAGAGGGTACTTTTACGTATAATGCACACATTTGCTTCCCTTATTGGTAAACTTGTAATCCATTTTTCTGGCTGCGCTGTGCATTATGTTGCCTGACGTAAACTTAATGCAGGATCCGCTTGTTACCAAAGGAGCAAGTTATGTACCTTTGCTGGGGATAGATGTGTGGGAGCATGCTTACTACTTGCAGGTAAATTTGCTGCATTCGGTATTATGTTTTTTTATACCCGCGGTAGTTTGATATGGCCGTTTCATGACTAGTTGACAATGAACAAATCTGCTTGATTTCATAAAAATTTTCGGACTTCCGCTTTGTTCCAATATGTGCTGAGCTATTTCGACCTTTAGCCATCTTACTTGATTCTTCATCATGGGATATACCTTGAAGTCTTGAATTATTGACGTTTGTGCAGTACAAAAATGCGAGGCCAGACTATCTGAAGAACGTATGGAACGTTATTAACTGGAAATACGCAAGTGAAGTGTATAAGAAAGTGTGTCCTTGAGATCTAAAGCCATTTTCCTGGTAAGTTTTTAGGTTGAGTTTGTCCACTTTGTGCAGGAATAAGAAGCATCCGTTGATGGGATTCCGAAACTTGTACCGAGACATCCTGTCTTTTCGACGATGCATAATTGCATAGTGTATCAGCTTTTGTGTAACTCGTTTATTTGAGGATCTCCTTTCCTCTTGTGTATTCCGACTTATGATTACTTAAGTTGATGATGGTGAAGCATGTAGCTCCATTTTGTAAATCCTCTTTTTTTTTTTTTTCTGGATTTCTAGTGATGGCAGCACATTGATCATTGACTAACCTGCGGCCCTGGCGGTTTGTTTTATTGCTCATTTTCAAACAAAGATGATTTTCATACGCGTTTTTCTTTTTCCTACACACCATCAGTTATTTATGACTATTGAATTGAATAAATCAAAAGTTAGTCGATACAAACAAACAGGAGTGTGCATAACAAGAAAACAATTGAATCCAAATCTGCAAGCAAAAAAGTCTCTCTATGAATAAGGCAAAAGAAATCTTTTGCAAAGAACCAGTAAGGTAGACAAATTGAAGTTTGCGAGGATTGAACCATTCACAAATAGCACTATTATGAAACCAATATATTCAAATGATAATACTATCAGTGTATCAAAAACGACAATAGGTTAATAAAATTGATATCCACATAACATACATAACATCGAAATGATATCAATATTGATATAATGAAATTGTTTGTTACAGTAATTTACAGTTAAATTGTAACAAAAGTTTTTTATCTGTATCAGTTTAGTTTTCGTTCTTAAACTTTATTAATAATTTTTCTCGTCGTTGAAATCATCCTTAAAATATATTGTGACCTATTCACGTAACCCAGTACATGTAACCAAAATTCCTTATGGATTGAGTAAACGTAGTTTTGATCGATTGTTTTTTTTAGGGGAAATAAAAAAATGAGTGAGAGACAATGAACAGATTTTAGCGGGCCCGCCCCGAATGGATCATAAGACCCCGCAAAACCCTAGTAAAAGAAGCGCACCCATATATATCCTCCAACCTTAAGAGGCCGCCGAAGCGTTTGGCAGCAGCAGAAGAAGCAGCTCAGATCCAGACGGCGGCTTAGGGTTTCACTTCCCTGTAGGCAAATCAGCAAACATGGTAATTCTTCTCTACCTCATATCTCCATCCCCGAATTACACGATTAACGACTAATATTTTACTTAATTCAGTTTGGAAATCTCAACCTCTCTCTGTTTGCAGACTTTCAAGAGAAGAAACGGCGGCCGGAACAAGCACGGCCGTGGCCACGTGAAGTTCATCCGCTGCTCCAACTGCGGAAAATGCTGCCCCAAGGTGTGCTTTTACCTAATTATCCTTTTTTTGTATTTTTATTAAAGTTTAAATCTTTATAGTGAAAGATTTGAATTTCTAAGTGGGTTCTGGGTGTTGAATTAGTTTTTGGATTTTTTTTAAGTGGGTTCTGGTTTTGAATTAGTATTAGTTTTAGGATTAATTTATTGGGTCTGTGTTAAAAAGGACAAAGCTATCAAGAGGTTTCTGGTGAGGAACATTGTTGAGCAGGCTGCAGTTAGGGATGTTCAGGAGGCTTGTGTTTACGATGGTAATTTTTCTTTCCCTTTCTGTTTAATACAGTAAAACTATTCTTCGTTTTGTTTTCGGTGTTATTTTTGTTTTTGGTTTTGATGATTGTGCTGATAATGTTTTTCGCTGTTAGTTTTGTATTTGTTTTGATGATTGTACTGATAATGTTTTACTGGGAATGCTGTTTGATTTGAAGGTTACACCCTTCCTAAGCTGTATGCTAAGATGCAATACTGCGTTTCTTGCGCCATCCACTCCCACGTTGTGAGGGTTCGGTCTCGCGAGAATAGGAGGAACCGTGAGCCCCCTCAGCGTTTCAGGCGCAGGGTATGCTCAAAATTTCATTGCTATGTATCTCTATCTCTTATTTTGTTTTAGTTTATGCCTCTGTGCAATTTGGTTTACGGTTCAGTGTGAGATATACTTTCATTTAAATTGTGTGTTGTGTTTGTTCAATACTTGCGTTTTTGGGGATTTTGTGCCTGAAATTAATACATTATACATTCCACATTCCCCCTACATGGATTAGTGTCCATTTTGTACAAACTTAACGAGTTTAAGAGCAAAGGAGGTAATGCCATCTTGAATTTTCTTAAAAGAGGTTCAAAAGCACCCAACTGCAAGGATGTTATCTCTTTTGCCTTTAGGACATGCATATTTGGTAGCTAAGCTTTGGACTTATTATTTGTTTAAATGATCGTCGTACTTCCATTATTAGTGACACTGAGGAGCTTGAAAACGCATGCTCAACAATTTTGGGTTTAACTTCAAATTTATATCTGCTATCATAGTATTATTTCATTAACATATTTATTGGCAGGGAGTTTCTCATGCTAAGGTATACATGCTTTTGATTTTTTGTATCCAGCTGTTGCTTTCTTCCTTAATTTAAGGTTTTTTATTTGCTAATATTAGGATAAATTTTGAAGGGTGGTACTTATAAATGCACGTTGCTTCCTATCTGTCTAGTTCAGCTACATCCCCTCTCCCGAATGTTAGCCTTTTACTTTTTTAACTATATAGTTCCTACACGGAAGCAACATTTGATGTAATTGGTTATGTGAGACTATAGTACGGAACCTTTTCCCCAATAATGTTGTTATGTGGACTAGGGAATGCTGGGGATGCTGGAGTGTTAGAAAGTAGACTGTATTATGTCTTCACATTTGGCTTTAATTTTTTATTTTGTACATTTGCTTGCATCTTTCATTTTCTTTTACTAAACCTTTCAATTTCAATTTATGCATTTCAGGAGGATACACCTAGGCCCGGTGCGCCTGGTGCTCCTGGTCAGGGTCCACGCGCTGTTGGAGCTGGAGCGCCAGCTGCTCGTCCATGAAAAGGCATCGCATCAGCTGCTTGGTTGCTTTGAGGATGTGCATTGAGTCTTTTAATTTTGGCTGCTACCTTACTTTATTTCCATTTTATCTTTGAATGTTTCTTTGACGCCGTTGTTACTTTATATGTCATACTATCATGTTGTGGGAAGTTATTTGCAAAAGGTAGCAGGAGATTCAAAACCAGAGATTTTCATTTTCGTGTGTTAATTTTCATCCAGTGTTGGTTTTCACTAGATTTTTATTTTCGAAGATTTTGGTACTCTAGATTTTAGGCTAAATTGTAGCCATGGTCTTTGAACGATGTACGAGTTTAGTTTTGGTCCGTGAACTCTAATAATAGAATAGTTGCTCTCATCCTCGCATTATGTCTCGTGTTGCACTAGTGGTACTTTTCGTTATCTCTGATCGGTAAAGTAGGATCCAGGTGTTGAAATCAGTTGTTTTTCTTGATTTCTCCTTATTGCTAGTTTGTTGCTAAGCATTCAATCCAAATTTGTTGGAGTCGTGCCCCCCACGTAGTGATGTAGTTTATGGTAGGACACTACTCGATGAACACCATCACGTGGTAATGTTGTGTTGTGATTAGATACTTAACGGATTTAGGGTAAAATGTTAACAAAAGGTTCATCGATAAGGTTCATATTTCACGAACATCGCCACGTGGTTATGTGGTGTTAATGGTCAAATGCTTTATTGATGTAGGTTAAAACAATGGACAAGCATTGTTTGCCCTCCCACTTCAGGTGTTTTTCCGTGCTTTCTTGTTTATGTGGTCACGGTTAAGCCACGTTAACATTTTATATTACTGTTTATTTTTGTCTTATTATCTGTATAAAAAAAATAATACAAAATGTTGACGTGGCTTAACCTTGACTACACAAAACAGGAGAGCATGGAAGAGCATCGAAGGTGGGAGGGCAGACAATTATTGTCCTAAAACAATAACAAAAGGTTAGGCGTGTCATAATTGAGTAGTCCAGTAGGGTTTGAATTTCTGTAAAGCATTTTTCCATCCATAGGAGATAAGGACTAAAGGTGAACAAGTCCACAGAGAAAGAGATGGATGGTTTGGCGGGCGTAGGAATTGGCTGGATGGCAGGTCGAAGACAGTAGACGACTAGACGTGTTGTTGTTGCGTCACTAATCGGGTGAGATATGAGGTTTCGTATGTCAAAAGTCATCTGAATATTCAAAGAAACCATGTGCACTGCCATCCAAATCCACACACTACACAATCATGCCATTTTGTGGGATACATTATCTTAAAAATTTGAATGTTCAACCGCGTCATCTCTATAAGACATCTTTCAACCTCGCTAGTTGTAATAGTTGTCTTAGTCAGCAATCTTAACGAAATCTTTCTTTGCTCATAAATCCAGCTTGGTACCATACTTTCTTCGACACACTCTGTTTGTTTTAAATGGGAATTACTAGTGAAATCACGGTTATTCATTTTCTTGGGATTCGGAGGAGGCTAGTTGAGAATTTTACCTTACACGTGGTCACGATTAAGCTGATTCACAACTTACAAAGTATCAAACACATTACCTCTCCCTTTTTTGAACACATTTTCCAGTTGGGATATTGTTATTATTGTGTAATAAATATGGCACAGAGCAAGACCATAAGTAAAATGAACAATTTTTAGGTTTTAATTGATAGTGTAATGTATGATTTCATATTTAGGCTCAATGCACTCTATTCCCAACAATTAAGACATGAACCTAATAATATACCCTTCATTTCGTCACAAAAAACAGTGAATGTTTTTATATTTATTAATTACTACATTATTTAATAAAGCATTAAATTTGGGAGGCAGATTTTCTACCCTCCCACTTACCTCCTTCTGTTTGTGTGGTCATGGTTAAACCATATTAATATTTTATATTATTATTCTTTTTTTGTCTTATTATCTCTATAAAAAAAATAATATAAAATATTAACGTGACTTAACCGTGACCATACAAAACAGGAGGGCACAAAAAGTGGGAGGCAGAGAATCTTCCTCCTTAAATTTGACCGTTCTTGCTTTTATGCATGTAGTTGGTACATATCGGTCATACATGCATCAGTAACAACAATAATTCACCTATATGAAAAAGTAAATCGAGGTCAACCACAAAAATAACATGTACAACTAAGCAAAGGGCAGGTCGTATCTGCATCAGTGATCGATTCATTCACGTACATTAAGAATTTAGACACACAAATAACTTGTATCATTAAGTAAAGAACCAATTGTATCTACATCAGTGACTGACAATTGTTCATATGCATAAAAAAAAAAAATCAAATTCACACACAAAGAACAAAAAAAAAAAAACATATTCCCAAGGATCTTCCAGCGGAAAAAAAAAAAAGGACAAAGAATGCGAAATTAGGAAATAAATATTTCATATACTTACGGTATGAAATATGGACAAGGATCCCCAATGTCTGAAAAAAGCAGGCGGCACGAAACAACGTCGTTCGTCTGCATCAGCGCGGTGTTGTGGTGTCTGCCTGGCGTATGCATTGCTGCGGTCACTGTTCTGAAAATTTCCTTCTAGACCTATTTTGGTCGGTTGATCACTGTTTCGATTAATTTATGATAAAATTATATATATTTTAAGCATAAACATACATTTATTTACATGAAATACAGTAAATTTAATTAAATCCGTCTAGTTCTCTTAGACACCCGTTAGAATCCGACCAACCATTTAGACGCTAAACCCCAGCTCACTGCCGAACTAGCACCTAACATCTTTTAAAACGCAACATCATGTGCTTCCTCCTTGACAAGCTGATCGTTTCCGTGGCGGCCTTGCGCTTGCATGGCGTCGCGTCGCTTTCCGGCAGACCTGTGTTGTTGTGTACTCGTGTGGCCCACCAACTGAAAACTCCCAAAAAATCAATTTAACGTTAATTTTCACTATTAGTCCTCGTACTTTAGTTATATTTTTATCTGCTCCTATAGTTTTTCTTACATTTTCATCCTTACGATTTTATTATGAACAGTGACGTTGTTCGAATTCTTCAAACATGAATGTAGCTAAAGCTAGGCCTAAAGGGGACACCCGCTCTACAACGAAGTTCATTTTTCAATCATTTCATGCACGTGCGACATTTTTTTTCAATCCAACCTAAAAATATTTAGCTCCATCCTATCGCCTAATTGAATTTTTCAAGCGAGAAGTATCTATAATTTTTTGAGAGAATCGACAATAAATTGATAATGAAAAAGGATTACAACTGTAATAAAAAAATAAAAAATAAAAAACTTGATTCTGATTATAGAGAATTAGGCGAGCAAAAAATACACATCAAGATCCGACATGCAATTGCACAAACCACCTACCCCTTCTTCTTGCTCAAGAGTCAGAGCAATTGGATGGAGAGGTTCCCATAAGTAAATGGAAACAAAACGAAACTCTAGGGGTACAAATGTTAAGTACAGAAAATACATGAATGAAATTGAAAATATTACAAGGACCATTCGTGCAATTTAACTTAATAATAAAATAACAAAAAATAAAAATTTAAGAAAGAAACAAAAGGGGGGGGGAGAGAGAGAGAGAGAGAGAGAGAGAGAGAGAGAGAGAGAGAGAGAGAGAGGAGGATTTTTGCCGCTTTTGCGTTTGGGTTTTGTGGAGGTGGGGGGTTTAAAAAGGTTTTTCCTCACACCACCAAAAGAAATGAAACTGTTCGTTCCTCTCCAATTCTCCGACCACCACTCTGCTAATCCCTCCCTCAACGGCGCCGTTTGGGCGTTTCCTTCCTCTTCTCTCCATTATTTTCTTCTCCTCCCCCAATTTGGCCTCCATTGATCAATTTCATGGCCCGCCTCCTCTGTTCGGCGCGGCCGAACGACGGCGTTTTCCGCGAGGATCGACCCCGCCCTTCGCCGCCCTCGCCGTCATTGCCGACCTCCAACCCCGATCCCTCCTCCAGAGCCCCTGAGTCTTGGGCCGGAGCCGAGCAGGCGACCCAGGAGATAGTCTCAAAGATTCAGCCTACTCTGGCGGCCCACCAGACGAGGACGGAGGTCATTCAATTTGTGCAGAACCTCATCACATGTAACGTCAGGTGTCAGGTAATTACAATTCAGCCGAATTGCGTTTCTTTCGATTTCAGTTTTCCATCTGGGTTAGTGTTGGTTTTGTGTAATTCTTGTGCAATTTGGTGGTAATGGCGATATGGTTTAGCTGGTAATGTCCAAATTTGTCTAGACTTGCAGTGCCACTGCCCACCTGTAAGCAAATGTTACTTGTGATGTGATTGATCGTAGCTTTTCAACGTAATGACTTCAATAAATGGAATGGAATTTTTGTTTGGAGCTGAAAAAATGGATACTTTACGCGTTAATTGAGTTTTGTTTGGATCCTAATTACTTTTAGAGGCATATTTTCGTGTTCGATTTCTGTTTGGCAATGAAATGTTGGGACTTGGTGAAATTTGTGAAGCAATATTGTTTTCTAGTTCTTTTTTTTTTTTTTTTTTTTTTGAGAAACCGGTGATGTTACTAATGATGTTTCCGAGTTTCTTCATTTCATTGACTTGCTAATAAGTTACGTCTGCAATTTTTGTGTGTTGTTTATCTCACAGGTTTTTCCTTATGGGTCAGTTCCATTGAAAACGTATCTGCCTGATGGAGATATTGATATGACGGCATTTGGCAGTGCAAATATTGATAAAGTCTTTGCAACTGATGTCTATGCAATTATGAAGGGAGAGGAGAACAACGAAGCTTCTCCGTTTCATGTGAAAGATGTACATTACATTGATGCAGAGGTTCTTCTCACCATGATGCCTTTTTTTTTCCTGGGAACCTTCAGTTTTTTGAAAACCTTTCCAATTCCATATAGTATTAGAGTTGAAGTCTCTGGTATTTTTCTTTTGTTTGCATCAACTTACAATACTTTTTTGTTCCATACATTGTCTAGAACTGATTATGTTGGTTCAGAGTTCTATTGTGGTATATTGCCCCCCTTTATATATACAACACAGCTGTTTTTATAGCTCTTCTATTCGCTAGATTAAAGTCGTTGGACTTTACCTTATTAATAGGAAAGGTTTCTGATATTCATGCTTGGATATTATGGAACTCAACATTTGCATGGATTTTGTTGAGTGCTTTTACTTTCCTGTGTTTTAACATCAATGCTTCAGGCTCATTGATGACGCTCCTAGGTTGATGAAGATATCATAATTTTCTTCATTATACATTTTCAATTTCCATTTACGAGGATACATCATCTCAAATTTGGAGGTTTTCGTTGCAGGTTAAGCTTGTGAAGTGCATTATACAAAATATAGTTGTAGATATATCCTCCAATCAGTTAGGAGGATTTAGTACTCTGCACTTTCTTGAACAGGTATGATCACTTCAAATTTTGATTAGCTACGGTTGGTATTGCATAACTGAATCAGATTGCTCCATGCTATTTTAATTTACCTACTATATCACTGGCATGAAAGTTCACTCCTGAGTATTATTTCTCATGTCGCTTCGTGTGCAGGTTGATAATTATATTGGCAAAAATCACCTCTTCAAGCGGAGTATTATTCTGATTAAAGCCTGGTGCTACTATGAGAGTCGTATTCTTGGGGCCCATCATGGTTTGATTTCAACATATGCTTTGGAAATATTAATCCTATATGTTTTCCATTTTTTCCATTCATCACTGGATGGCCCTCTGGCAGTGAGTACTCCCAAGTCAATTTTGAGTCCTTATTTCAAAAATATATATATAAGTTTAAGAACTTAATTACTTTTCATTTCTATAGGTCCTTTATAGATTTTTGGATTACTTCAGCAAATTTGACTGGGAGAACTATTGTATAAGTTTAAACGGACCAGTATGCAAATCATCCTTGCCTGATATAGTGGGTAAGAGATATTATTGTGTGCTTTTGATGTTGGGTGGCTTATTTGTGTTATCGTGCTCTCTCTCTCTCTCTCTCTCTCTCTCTGTGACTCACTCACTTAAACTGCAGCTAAGGCACCCGAAAGCGGGAGAGTTGATCTACTGCTGAGTGAAGAATTTATTAGAAATTGTGTGGAAATGTTCTCTGTTCCAGCAAAGGGGTATGAGACAAACTTGCGAGCTTTTTCCCTGAAGCATCTTAATATAATAGATCCACTAAAGCAGGACAACAACCTTGGGCGAAGTGTCAGCAGAAGTATGCATTCTCTCTCTCTCTCTCTCTCTCTCTCTCTCTCTCTCTCTCGCTCTCATGCTGTTGTGGAGTTTTATCATAGTATGATTGATGGGTTTTCCACAGGTAACTTCTATCGAATATGCAGTGCTTTTAAACATGGAGCTCGCAAGCTTGGTTGGATTCTTTCATTACCAGGGGAATGCATAGCAGATGAGCTGCCCAAGTTTTTTGTAAATACTTTGGATAGACATGGAAGCAATGGTCAGACTAATGTGCACAATAATGCCTTGTCTGGAAGTTCTGAATCTTTGAACGTTTTGTTGGAGCTTGGTGGAGATTTCGACAGTCATGGAATGAACCTGCAATATGGCCCCTTTTTCCCTGGATCTGCTCCATTACCTCCTTTATTTCCCAGTCTTCCCTTGTCACCTCAGCTATGGAAAGAGAACCGATGGGGAGGTATGTCTGAAGCCCTTCATTTCCATCAGAATGCTAATTCTCAAACTAACGTACATGGTGTTGACTGGGGAGCACATGCGTACCATGCAAATGATTCCACTTTCTCCGTTGCTGCTTTCAGAGGAGAGAAAAGGAAACCCCGAGGGACTGGAACGTACATCCCAAATCCGGTAGTGGCAATTTTGTTTTCTATATAATCATTTTTTCAGACTGCATTCTGTAATTTTATATTCATGAGCTTTATATTTTTGGGTTTATTTTTCTATAGAGTCATTCTCAGCAGAGGACTAGTCCTGGTTTTCATAATCTCATGGTTATCTTATTACAGTCTTTTCAGAATTACCGTCCCTTAAAGGATAGGTTGCCTGGAAGGGGAAGGAAACAGGCACCAGGAACTTGTTTTCCATTTCAGAGACACGCCTTTGGTTATGGCTTCACTGTAGCTCCTCAACAGTCAGTCTCACCTAGAGAATGATGCTGAGAGCTCTCAGAAGCGGAGTACGTAGTTTTAAGTCATGGAAACTCCAACATTAGATTACCATTAACCTCACATGCCTTTTTGGGAGCCTTTTCATGACAACAGTTTCTCCAACTTGCAAGCGAAACTCGACTCTAGATCCTCATCCCTTCAGTTAAGGGAGGGAGGCACCCGTGCCAGAATTGAATCATCAAGCAGAGTTGTTTGGAGCCGATGAGGAGAGGTAGTTTGATTTGGTAATTTGAAGTAGTCCTGCACAATAGCTTTCTTCAAAAGCTAAAGTTCTCTTGTTGATGTCCACCACTCACCCCTCGAGTGCCATTGAAGGAAGGATTATGCATCGGAGAATGAAGACGCTTATGACGGTAGGTGCTAATACACTAGACCGAGCTTCCGGGAAGGCTTGTTGCTCTCAGCCTCGATATCCTTGGGGACCTCTGTTGTTGGTAGTTTCGATGTAGAATGCACATGTTGTACATGCTGGTTCCTTTTCTTTTCCGTTTCATATCTATGCGCACATTTGTGCGCCTTCATTGGGTTGGGTGGATGTTGTATATACGGGGCAAAGTTTGCCCCTCGGCTTGTCATTCCCTCCCAAATTTTCTGGTTCTAAACACACTACTGAGAAACCTTTGTCAGGTATTTCGGCTAGAACTGGTTAGCATACACATGATGAGATATATAAATGTAACCAGGAAAGTTTTGGTTATGTTTAGGATTTTTTTCGGTCGAATGTTACTATGAATTGATGAAAGTTTATTTTGGTCAAGTTCATTTGTTTTAAGTGAAGTCGTGACAGTTGTAGGTCTGAGTTTAATCAAGTTGCTTAGAACAATGTGTTTTTTTCCTCTCAGTAATCGAGTTTGAACACCCTCTAGAATTTAGGTTTTATATTAATTTAAAATATTTGTACTAAAAAAATGAATCAGCTACAAAGGTTTCTGTGTAGGAACCTTGTGCTTGACGCAAGATGAATAAAATGGTAGCATGTAAGGGCTCGTTTGGTGCCTCGATTCAATTGGATTATAAGGTTGAGGTGAATGTTTTTTCATTTTTAGGGAGGATTTGAAATGGTTAGACATGAAGGAAACTCTCTTCAAATCCTGCTGATTGTTTGCTCCTAAATCTACGTTTTTGTGAGAATTTAATAAATAATTCTTGTACTTTCATGTTGAACAAAGTTTATTCATTTCTTCCTTCAACACGTCTTGAGTATCCAATCCAATCTAATCCCACCAAATCAGCCCTAAAATGATAAATCCACCAACTTTATCCCTTGAGGTTCACCTGTTTCAGTTAGTACTTGAGGGTTAAGTAAGAACATGCAAACCGAACTCATCATCAAGGCACCAGTGGTCTAGTGGTAGAATAGTACCCTGCCACGGTACAGACCCGGGTTCGATTCCCGGCTGGTGCATCCCTTTTTTCCTTTTTTTGTCTTTTTCAGAAAGAGAACCTAATGAAAGGAAAGTTTTGTCCACTCCAGAATCCACATTTCCAACCACACAGTCTCCTGACGACGTGGCAATCGACTTTTGGGAAGAAACAAATTAAGTCGTACATGGTTGGCACAATCAAGTAGGAAGAAGAGGGAATATGATCTTCTTCGGATACTCAATCAAACATGGAATTAGAAATTATATTTAAAATTTTAATTTAAAATTAAATATAAATACGAAAATTAATTATACAATATATAATGAACGAACACGATTAATTAAATTTAGAAATTTCACAACGAGCATCCGAAGAATATCCTTGTCCGAAAAAGAGCATCTAAGTTGCTTTGTCTCTCACATTATTTATTCTTAATTATTATACAAAGACTATGAACTTGAACCGTATATTATTATTATTGTATTCTATATAAAATTGGCTGAATTCATTTGATCTGTCCATTTCATCCTTCCTCCTTCCTTCAACATCACAATAAACCTTTCAACGGCCTCCGCGGATATCATCCACCACTAAACAAAATGTGGGCGGCTTAACACCCTACATTTACACATTACAATTCAATAAGACAAACAATCACATTTCTGAATTGTGTGCGTACAAGCAGATTACTTAACTCACGAGGAGATCATAGTCAGGGCCGGCCTTGAGATTTCAGGGGCCCTATTTGAAAGTGAATCGGAGGTCCTAAAAAGTACTAAAGATTTTTTTTATTCTTCAAAAAAATATTTTAGTTTTCAATTGAGCTTCTATAAATTTCATGTTATTGTGTGAAATTTTTATATTATTTTGTGGAAGTTATGCATTTAATAAAAATAAACTGATAAAATGATGGAGATGAGTTTTGAACCATCCAATAATACCACTTGCATTAAGACTCAAGTTTATAATATTCTACACATACTAATATATATAGGTATATGAATGCAAAATTGGAAAATTAGGGGCCTTCCGATTTGAGAACCCTGTGCGGTGGCACCACTTGTACCTCTTCAAGACCGGCCCTGCATAGTACGGGAGAGGTAGATGAACTCTATCAAGAATTTGTTCGTATTGATCTCATATTAGTTATCACGTATGATAAATAATGAATTTCTTTGTCAAGTTTATTTACCTATTGTAAACATGATCGTTTTGCAGGTTGGTATGTGTGTGTGTGTTCTCGTGTAAGTGTAAAACTCGTACGAAAATCTATGCAGGCGACATTGACACCCAAGTCTTCCAACAGTATTAGAGCCACAGTTTGTCTTAGCAAATTACTCAAGTAACAGATAAACACCAAGGAAAAAGAACAATTCTGGATCTCTTTCTCCTAATTCATCAAATTAGAGGATCTGTGTTATTGAAATTTGATCCAACGGCTACAAACAGAAGCTCACTTTTAAAGTTATAATAACTTCAACCGTTTGATTAAATTTAAATGACATGGATTCTCTGATTTGATGGATTAGGAGGAAGGAATCCGGAGATGATCCTTTTCCAAACACCAAAGGCAAGCATAAAACTTGTCTTATTGTACCTGTTCATCTTCATCCTAATTTTTGTTAGGGGTGTGCTATCCATACACTTTTTTTTACTTCACACACACCCTTTATTAATTTATGTCCGTTGATCTTCTTCATTTCATCTAATTCGACGGCCCAAAATTAGAAGGATGTGTGAAAATTAAAAAGGAGTGTGTGGATATCACACCCCTTTTTGTTGTTGTTTACACATGTAAGAATTTAGAGTAATGTTATTCTTAGCATAATTTTATATCATATTTCTTTACCATTTTAGGTGGTAGATGAGTTGGAGAATCTATATCATTTAATTTCAATCTTTTTAAATGATGATTGTGATATACAAGAAGTCTCCTTCTTCCACCTAAGATTATTTAAGTGTTTTAATTAATAAAAAGATTGAAATTAAATAATATAGCTTGTTCAACTCATCTGACACCTATGATGATAAAGAAATGTGATAAAAATAGCATTACTCAATAATTTAAGCCAAATTAATCAACAGGCACAGTTGTCTAGTCATACTTTAACTATAATTACCTGCACTAGTGTGCATATATATGGGGTGCCATACATATTTTTAATAAAGTATTTCAATGATATGAGTCGTTTATTTTTCAAATATTTTCTTAAAGATCATGTGTATTAAAAATTACTCAAATATAGGTTTTTTTTCCTTAGGAATCATGTCTATTAAAAATCATTCAAATATGAAATTATATAACAGTTGGCTGAATGATTTGGATTGCTTTGTAGAACCGTATTTGTTCATTTTCTTCATTATTTAAAACAATCATTGAGTTTGACTATTTTCGTATTCGCTGTGCATGAACTTATAAATGTAATACTCCATTATCTATATAATAGAAAGCGATAGCTCCAATTTGGGGTCACGCATGCTGACAAAGTTTTTGGGGTCACGCAGTTGACAAAAAGATTAGGACAAAATTGTCCCTCAACCAAAAACATTCAAAAGCAGCCCAAAATAATATATCAAATAATATAGGGGTAATTTGGTCATCATAAAATATAATAGAAATATAAGTGAGAAGAGAGAAAAGAAAAAAAAAATGAAAAGAGCTTGAAAACTTTGAGTTTTAATGATAAGGACAAAATAAAGAGTAAAGTGAATAATACCAGGATTAACTTTTTAGTGTAAAAATATGGTTTTTCATTAAAACTCCCTAAAAAAATGAAAGGATAAGTGAAAGTTGATGGTGCCTACGTGAAGGGGAAAGAAAAATATAATAAAAATCTATATAATAGAAAGCGAGAGCCCTAATTTGGGGTCATGCAGTTGACAAAAAATATTAGGACAAAATTGCCCCTCAACCAAAAAAATCCAAAAGCAACCCAATATAATATATCACATAATGTAGGGGTAATTTGGTATTTTGGTCATCATAAAATACAATATAAATATAAGTGAAAAGAGAGACGAATATAAAAAAAAATGAAAGAATAAGTGAAAGTTGATGGTGCCCACGTGAGAGAGAAAGAAAAATATAATAAAAAATAAGGAAAATGATGAATATTGTGTTCAAAACATCTTAAGAGACGCATGGCGGCGATGATAAATTAGTAAAGTTTTTTTTTTTTTTTTAAATTAGTACCTCACAATAGGTTAATAATAATGTGATTCAATCAGTTGTTTATTAAATATGATTTTTTTTATTTATAAAAAATGTCTTTTGCACATGGATAATAATATGATTAAATTAATTGTCAAATGATTGTTTTTTTTTAAACAAACGATATTATCTACACCAAGGGGAAGGAGGTGAGCTTAGTCTCACAATGAGCTAGTAATAATGTGATTTAATCAATTGTTTATTAAATATTATTTTCTCTATTCTTAATGTAAATTCTATAGAAACCAATTTCATTACTTGAATTCAGCTGCTTTAATTGGTTTATAAGGGGTTTCTTTTAGCATGATTTAAAATTATTCATTTACTTCAAATATTTAACTTTCCTTTTGTCAATTTATGCATTCAAATACATTTAAAACTTGTAAGTTGCGCATAGCAAGCCGTGAATTTGGACTAACAACATTATACTTTGTGGTCATGATTTACCCTTATTCATGCGCGTGCATGAAGGCTAGTTAATATAATGCAACTCGTGAATTTGGACTAACAACATTATACTTTGTGGTCATTATTTACCCTTATTTTAATGTATAATTGGATTCGGCTGCACAGACAAAAGCAAATGGTTCCATAATTACATTTCACCATGTTTTATTAATGTTTTTTTCTTCAAATTTTACCCGACAAGACGTGACTTGCTTCATTAGAAATAGAATGAAAAAATGGTAATGGAAAGTTTTTCCATTTAATTATGATAATATTTGTTCTTTGTTAATTTGTACACTACAACCCACAAACAAAGTGTCTTCCCCTTCTCACGTGTCTGAATTAGTCCAAATTCATATTAGGGTTTTCAGATATTTATCCTGTAATTCTTATCAACAAGTTTTTTGTAAATTACTACAAATTACAGAAGATGAGTCGCAAGATGGCATGTGTGCATGCGTGGCCGAAATAGTCAGCCAAATAAGGGTATAAAAATGTTTTGGTGACAAATTTCACAGGTTTCATGCAGCATATATATATATATATATATATATATATATTGAGGTAACTGTGAAGTATGCTGTGAGGAGAAGAATGGGGCCAAATACAAAGAAGAAATATCATTGAGAAAGAGAGGATAAGAATAGAATAAGTGGGGAGTGGAGGGACCCCCATGAAAAATTGAAATGCATGAAAAGATAAGTGCGAGGTTGATAGATTTGTCAACCCAATAC